ATCTTATCAACCTTGGAATCACTTCCAACACACATCGTCGCCTCGCCCTCAACTAGTCTCTATTCATTTTGCAACTCCTGTTTTGAGTTGCTAATCTTAGCAACTGAATCGGTATCAAATACCCCGGGGTTACTATGAACACTAGTAAAGTACACATCAATAACATGTATATCACATATACCTTTGTTCACTTCGCCATCCTTCTTATCCGCCAATTATTTGGGGGTAGCTCCGCTTCCAGTGACCATTTCCTTTGCAGTAGAAGCACCCAGTTTCAGGCTTAGTTCCAGGCTTGGGATTCTTCACTTGAGCAACAACTTGCTTGCCGTTTTTCTTGAAGTTCCCCTTCTTCCTTTGCCCTTTTTTTGAAACTAGTGGTCTTGTTAACCATCAACAATTGATGCTCTTTCTTGATTTTTACCTTCTTCGATTTCAGCATCACGAAGAGCTCGAGAATCGTTTTCGTCATCCCATGCATATTATAGTTCATCACGAAGTTCCAGTAACTTGGTGATAGTGACTAGAGAACTTTGTCAATTACCATCTTATCTGGAAGATTAACTCCCACTTGATTCAAGCAATTGTAGTACCCAGAGAATCTGAGCACATGCTCACTGATTGAGCTATTCTCCTCCATCTTGTAGGCAAAGTATTTGTCAGAGGTCTCATACCTCCCGACACGGGCATGAGTCTGAAATACCAATTTCATCTCTTGGAACATCTCGTATGTTCTGTGGCATTCAAAACGTTTTTGAAGTCCCGGTTCTAAGCCATAAAGCATGATGCATTAAACTATCAAGTAGTCATCATACCGAGCTTTGTCAAACGTTCATAACGTCTGCATCTGTTCCTGCAATAGGTCTTTCACCTAACGATGCATCAAGAACATAATTCTTCTGTGCAGCAATGAGGATAATTCTCAGATCACGGACTAAGTCCTTATCATTGCTACTATCATCTTTCAACTTATTTTTCTCTAGGAACATATCAAAAAAATAAACGGGGAGCTACAACGCGAGCTATTGATCTACAACATAATTTGCAAATACTATCAGGACTAAGTTCATGATAAATTAAAGTTCAATTAATCAAATTACTTAAGAACTCCCACTTAGATAGACATCCCTCGAGTCATCTAAATGATCACGTGATCCATATCAACTAAACCATGTCCGGTCATCACATGAGATGGAGTAGTTTTCAATGGTGAACATCTCTATGTTGACTATATGATTCACGATCGACCTTTCAGTCTCAGTGTTCCGAGGCCATATCTACATATGCTAGGCTCGTCAAGTTTAACCCGAGTATTCTGAATGTGCAAAACTGGCTTGCACCCGTTGTATGTGAACGTAGAGCTTATCACACATGATCATCACGTGGTATCTCGGCACGACGAACTGTAGCAACGGTGCATACTCAGGGAGAACACTTATACCTTGAAATTTAGTGAGGGATCATCTTATAATGCTACCGCCGCACTAAGCAAAATAAGATGCATAAAAGATAAACATCACATGCAATCAAAAATATGTGACATGATATGGCCATCATCGTCTTGTGCCTTTGATCTCCATCTCCGAAGCACCGTCATGATCTCCATCGTCACCGGCTTGACACCTTGATCTCCATCGTAGTGTCGTTGTCGTCTCGCCAACTATTTCTTCTACGACTATCACTACCGCATAGTGATAATGTAAAGCAATTACATGGCGATTGCATTTCATACAATAAAGCGACAACCATAAGGCTCCTGCCAGTTGCCGATAATGGTTACAAAACAAGATCATCTCATATAACAATTTATATCTCATCACGTCTTGACCATATCACATCACAACATGCCCTGCAAAAACAAGTTAGACATCCTCTACTTTGTTGTTGCAAGTTTTACGTGGCTGCTACGGGCTTAGCAAGAACCGTTCTTATCTACGCATCAAAACCATAATGATTTTTCGTCAAGTGTGTTGTTTTAACCTTGAATAAGGATCGGGCATAGTCAAACTCGATTCAACTAAAGTTGGAGAAACAGACACCCACCAGCCACCTGTGTGCGAAGCACGTCGGTAGAACCAGTCTTATGAACGCGGTCATGTAATGTCGGTCTGGGCCGCTTCATCCAACAATACCGCCGAATCAAACTAAGACGTTGCTGGTAAGTAGTATGACTATTATTGCCCACAACACTTTGTGTTCTACTCGTGCATATAATATCTACGCATAGACCTGGCTCAGATGCCACTATTAGGGAATGTAGTATTTCAAAAAAATTCCTACGATCACGCAAGATCTATCTAGGAGAAGCATAGCAACGAACGGGGAGAGTGTGTCCATGTACCCTCGTAGACTGAAAGCGGAAGCGTTTAGTAACGCGGTTGATGTAGTCGATCGTCTTCGCGATCCAACCGATCCAAGCACCGAACGTACGGCACCTCCGCGTTCAGCACACGTTCAGCTCGATGACGTCCCTCGTACTCTTGATCCAGTTGAGGGCGAGAGAGAGTTCCGTCAGCACGACGGCGTGGTGATGGTGATGATGAAGTTACCGGCGCAGGGCTTCGCCTAAGCACTACGATGATATGACCGAGGTGTGTAACTATGGAGGGGGGCACCACACACGGCTAAGACATTGTCCGTTGTACTATTGGGGTGCCCCCTGACCATGTATATAAAGGAGGGAGAGAGAGAGGAGGCCGGCCAGGTTGGGAGCGCCAGGGGGGAGTCCTACTTGGACTCCTAGTCCAAGTAGGATCCGTCCCCTCCCCCTTTTCTTCCACTGGAGGGAAAGGGAAGGGAGAGAGAGGGGGAAGGAAAGAGGGGGGCCGACCCCCTCCCCTATTCCAATTCGATTTGGGCAAGGGGGGGAGCCCCTCTCACGTGGCCCTTTCTCCTCTCCTCCAATAAGGCCCAATAGGCCCATTACTTCTCCTAGGGGTTCCGGTAACCTCCCGGTACTCCGGAAAAATGCCCGAACCACTCGGAACCATTCCGATGTCCAAATGCAACCTCCCAATATATGAATCTTTACCTCTCGACCATTTCGAGACTCCTCGTCATGTCCGTGCTCATCCGGGACTCCGAATAAACTTCGGTCATCAAATCACATAACTCATAATACAAATCGTCATCGAACGTTAAGCGTGCGGACCCTACGGGTTCGAGAACTACGTAGACATGACCGAGACACATCTCAGGTCAATAACCAATAGCGGAACCTGGATGCTTATATTGGCTCCTACATTTTCTATGAAGATCTTTATCGGTCAAACCGCATAACAACATACGTTGTTCCCTTTGTCATCGGTATGTTACTTGCCCGAGATTCGATCGTCGGTATCATCATACCTAGTTCAATCTCGTTACCGGCAAGTCTCTTTACTCGTTCCGTAATGCATCATCCCGTAACTAACTCATTAGTCACATTGCTTGCAAGGCTTATAGTGATGTGCATTACCGAGAGGGCCCAGAGATACCTCTCCGATACACGGAGTGACAAATCCTAATCTCGATCTATGCCAAACCAACAAACACCTTCGGAAACACCTGTAGAGCATCTTTATAATCATTCAGTTACGTTGTGACGTTTGATAGCACACAAGGTGTTCCTCCGGTATTCGGGAGTTGCATAATCTCAGAGTCTGAGGAACATGTATAAGTCATGAAGAAAGCAATAGCAATAAAACTTAACGATCATAATGCTAAGCTAACGGATGGGTCTTGTCCATCACATTATTCTCTAATGATGTGATTTCATTCATCAAATGACAACACATGTCCATGGCTAGGAAACTTAACCATCTTTGATTAACGAGCGAGTCAAGTAGAGGCATACTAGGGACACTATGTTTGTCTATGTATTCACACATGTACTAAGTTTCCGGTTAATACAATTCTAGCATGAATAATAAACATTTATCATGATATAAGGAAATATAAATAACAACTTTATTATTGCCTCTAGGGCATATTTCCTTCACCAACTAGTAAAGGAGATGATCTTTCTACTTCTATTCCTATTGGCTTTGTCCTTGTTTTTGCAGAAAAGCCTCAAGGCTATATATTAAATAAAATCATGTAGCAGGATAATGGGAGTAACCCGAAATAAGGTCAAACTTTTTGCGGCGGGCAAAAGGGAGGAAGATGTTTCCGTTCCTCGACATCCTCGACACACGTCGCTGCCATCCTCGGCTCCAGTTGTCGCTCCCTAGTGGATCTCGCTCGATGTCGATCAAACCAGACATGAAATGTTATCACCGGAATTAATTTTGCTCACCGGTTGTTTGTAGATCATGAAATGTTATCAGTAATGAACCATGGAAGACTTTCATTGGCAATTCTCATCAAAAGCACGAGTGTCGGGATTAGGGGTGCAGTGATGGCCTAATCTATAGGAGTGTCTATTTTGATGGGTGAATGAAACATCCTAATATATATTTTTCTACGGGAACGGAACAATTCTGAGTTTCAAGTGACATACTACCAGCACGGAAAAGACCGAGAACCGTACATACTAAACCGAACTCGGGGGAAATGAACACAGTTAAGAGACACAGTGGATAGGTATGCTGTTGTATTTATTTATTTTGGCAAGCTTTTTTTTGGAGGGGGTTTCGGCAAGCTGATTGTACTTTATGAAGCACACAAGGCACGACACCAGCCCACCAGACGGCACTTGCTGGGCCTGTTGACTTATCCTAGCCCACAGCCGGCGCATTTGACTGACGTTCAGGATCGATGCATCTTCGGTCACAGCGCATGCAGCCGCCACGCGCCGCCGCCCACCAAAGCCATCGCTCGCCTCCAGCACACCCATGGCCATGGCCATGTTGACGAAAGCCGCCCACGTCCTCCGCCGCCTGCCTGCGATGAGCGCGGCCCGGTCGTGGCCGGCGCACAATACATGCCGCCGGTTTCTCACTACCAACAAGGTGCACGGCCTCTTCATCAACTACATCGACCACTAACGGCCGCACCTCTTCGCCCGCCCCTCCTCCGACTCCATGATCGACCCCATGCTTGACTTCCTGCCCGACGACAACGACCGGCGCTGGTGGTGGTCGATCCTGGACCACAGCAACGGCCTCCTCCTCTGCAACATGGGACCGGGCGAGCTCTGCGTGCTTAACCCGGCGACGAGGCGGTGGGCAATTCTACCCTGGCCCCGTCAGGCACCCGTTGCGCTTGATCCTGCAGTGCCCGGGGAGCCACCGTCGCTAGACCGGTCATCTGTGGATGAGGATAATGACAATGACATGCGCCACTTGATGGAACTGGAATCGCCACGGACTTCATGGGCGTTGATGAGGATCTTAAGGGTACCGCCCCGGCAAGATCTTTGTGCCGGCGTGTACCTTGCATTTGATCCTGCTGTGTCGCCGCACTATGAGCTGTTGACGATCCCTGCCATACCTGGCGCGCCTAACAAGCTAGCATTCAGAGCAGCCAAAGGAGGAAGCAGCAATGATAATGATAAGAGCCGCTTGATGGAATCGGAATGGCCACCGACTCCTTGGAGGTTGAACGTGTTTTCATCAAGGACTGGTCAGTGGGAGGAGAGGGATTTCGTCCGCCAGGGAGAGCCGGCAGGAACAGTTGGAGACATGCTCAAAGATCGAGCTGAGCTATCTTGGGGGAGCTTTTTTATGATACCCTATACTGCTATAGATGGAAGTGAACAGTATACAATTATCCACCGGTGATTTCGCGAGGGTAGTCTCGTCAGATTTCCGTTTAGCAGAATAACGCTAACCCATAGCAATCGGTTTGTTCGTCCTGGTTGTGCTGCCGCCCTGTTCCCCGCTGCCCACTCGACAACTAGTCAGCTCCACCGTCGTCGAACTCGCCGCTACGTCCTGGCTTCCCAGCTCTCCCTCGCCACCGGGCCTCCGCCCGCGTGCTTGACCTAGACCGTCGGACGTTGGTTGTCATGCCTGTCGTGTCCACGAACCTCCAGCCGCGCCTCGTATCACCCTCACTGTACGCCCACGTTCTAGTCAGTATAGGTCACCTTCTCGATGGATGCTGTGTTTTTGGTTGATTAATTGAAAGAGTCCATCGATTGGTGGCTTCTGAAATACTACCTCTAATTTCCCTAGCTGTATGGTATCCGACGGTCGTCGCAATCGCGCTCAGTCCATGACCATGGCTGAGTAAGGGACACGTACGAACGAAGACGAGATGCTGCGGCGGCCGCCGGCGGATAGGAAGGTGAGCCGGGAGGAGAGGAGGCCTCGTCGAGGAAGACGGTGCAGGTGCACAGGCAGTGGATGATCATGGCCGGCGGCGTAGCAGCATCAGTCCACGAGCATGGTCGACAATATGGAAGCGGCAAGGTGGCCACTGGAATCCTAGCCGACGGGCGCGTGCTTACGGCCGAGCAGAATAAGTGAAGAGAACGGGCTCACTCGGTCACGAGGCGGGCTGACTTTTCTCTTCCTAAATCACCCTCACGGCAAGTATACTGCTGCACCTGGAGCGGCCAGTGGTACCGATACCGCTGGCGATGGTTCTAGCGCAGTTGAGCAGTATGGATGAATCACCATTCTTAGATTTTGATAATAGACGGTCCATATCTCTTACGGGATACAGTAAAAGAGCTCATCTTGGGGGCCACGCCAACGCTATGCAGTGTATTATCAAGGAGCACTTTATGTGCACTGTCGAGGTTCCTTTGTTTTGAGGTATATACACTGATCTATTGTTTTCTAACATAAAAAGCTATATTAGTTAGCGAGAGTACAATCTGGTCCTAAAATATTATCAAGGCATGTAAAATAATTAGTTGGGTACTGCATTCAAAAAGAAATTTAGAAATATGGGTGGGCGTACAATACGATTATATTCATTGTGAGAAAACAATGCACTGATTTCTTGCTCGTGTCACATACATAAATTAGACAACAACCCGTTGCATTACCCTATTTATTAGCATCGTCCAGCTAGATGCTAGAGTTTTAATTAATTAATGCTTTATATGTAGTGTGCATCTTAATTGCAATGGTTTTTTTTTCAGGCTTTCATTGTCAAACGGTATATATCAAGTGATTAGAACACCATCATATGGTGAGGGCAAGATATTTGGAAAACCGTATCTAGGGAGATCAGAGAAAGGTGTGTACTTTGGAATAATTGAAAAGTCCCAACTACGGGTTTGGATCCTGAGTGAATTAAGTGAACAACGGATGGAGTGGATCTTAAAGTATGAACATGACCTTGCCCAGTATGCCCTACATCTAGGAAAATTTGAGCGCAAAATGGATGCACCTTGGATGGTACATGATGTGTCTGACACTCATCACGAGGCTGCTCATGTTGGTGCTAAAACTTCGGGGAAAGTGAGATTTGACTGGGATTCTGACAATGATGACTTTTTTACAGTTAAATTTGATCCCAATGAATACCCCAATTTCTTTGATATTCTTGGATTCCATCCTTGCAAGGAAGTTGTCTTTCTGAATCAAATGTTTAGCGTAGTGGCCTATCATTTGAAAAACTCAAAGGTTCAATATCTTGGCAACTCACGCCCAGAAAGTTACTACGTTAACCATACAAACGGAATATATGAGTCGTTTGTGTATAGTCCATGTATGGTTGGTGATCTTAATGAAGGACATAATAAGCAGAGCACATCTTAAAGATGGCATGGATGAGTGCATCGCATGATACAGAAGCCAGGGTTATCCCCTTTTCGGAAAAAAAAAATCTTAAAGCGGTGTCTTCATGTTTGAGCCCTGGCTTGTCCGTGATTTTTTCCCGTTAGGTGGCTTGTTCTTGGTTTATGTGTGTAGGTTCATTTCTTACGTACTATATACTATTCTATGTAGGAGCAAACTATATGCGTTGATATTAAGTTTCAATAATGGGTCATATAATGTCTAGAGTGCCCATCGTTTTGTCCCTCCGTGGGTATTACTTCAAATACGTAATAAATGTTTGCAAACAAGAGTCGCCGGCTAAGTACTATTGCTTCATATAATTTTGTTTACTTTGTTTCTTTGTATGGTTGCCCAACAGAAAAGTGTCATTCTACCCATTCGGAGCTGCGACTCAATGGTTTATCATGACTAGACTAGAACATGTAGGCACGCTTCGCCACGCCCGTCCATATTGACATTGAATGATAAAACTATCTTAAAATAAGAGTGAAGTGCATCATAGGTCCTCGAACTATTTCAGACGTGTCAGTAGGTCCTCGAACTATGAAAATCATCATCTAGATTCTCAAAGTGCAACATGTGTGTGATCCTGGTCCTCAAACTATTTCAAAGGAGTCATGTACGTCATTGAACTATTTCAGAAGTGTCACATATATACACATTTATTACACTTCAAAGATTTCTGAGGACCTGGATGACACTTTTCATAGTTTGAGGACCGGCGTGACACCTTCAAAATAGTTCAAAGACGTAGGATGCACTTCACTTTTAAAATAATCCAAGTAGTATTTGAGAAAAATTGAATATGCAAGAGATATTTCCAATATAATTGTTAAAGGTGTTAAGCTTTACCAGTAAATTTAGGTAGGGTGATGCACTGAGACCATAACAAAATTAGCCTTTTGGATCTAACTCCCAGTAAACAAAATAGATCAACTGTAAACAATATTTTGAATTGACGCAAGTGAAGCTTTAATCCTCACAGCGTGTCAGGTACACATAAAAACGACAGATCCAAAAGTCATGCTATGGATTTTATTTATGACGTGGCGACCATGGTTTGAGCAGTAAAAGATTTCACAACTGATGGACTATTGCTTTAGACAGCCCGGGACGCATGGTGATAGTGCATAGATTATCAAATTGGACCTTGTCAAATCATTATAGGAATGGAAAGTTAGCTTTATCAATTTCATGTCATCTGGTGAAGTAAACCTAAGAATAGGTTCTCCTAAGCTGAAAATTATAAGTTCTCCTAAAATCACTAAACATATTTAACAGACTGCCTGCCTTATTATACATTATCAAATTAAGCAAAAATGGCTTCGGCTTCACCGGCCGCCTGCAATACTTGCCTGTAGTCTCAAAAGCTTAAAAACCATACATCAGGCAGTGTCAGCACAATGCGACAAGCAATCTTAACCAAACTAAATCCTAAATCTTGAAAAAGGAACCCAAGATTGCTAAAACATGGGCACTCACCCTGCGCTCCACTTGTCATGTAATACTTTCACGAGCACTTGTGGCTCGGCAACATGAACGTTGACTTTCAGAAATTAATAGTGAAAATGAACTCTTCAGAAAGGGAAAAATAGTTCCAGAAATTAATTGCACGCACAATATGTTCGAGAATAACACGCCAAAATCTGAAAAAAGAAGCTATAATAGGAAACAAAACTTGTTTTAGTCACAGTGTAAGCAAAGAGCAGTCTGCAAGTGAACTTTTCATTTATCAGAGTCCAACAAATAGAAAAAGATGTGCCACAAAAAAGATAAATCCACAACTCACTTGATCAGCAGTTGAACACACAACACTCATGCCAAGATGATTTAAATTAGACACAAATCTCACACAATCAGAATCAAATGTCATACTCAAAGCTATGCATATTCAGAATTTCTGTACCGATTCTTGACCTTCCTCAGAAGGATCTTCTCACATGGGAATTAAAACGAAACTCATTATTCCATCAATAAAAAGAAATTTGAAGTTTGACAAAGAACATGCAGAACACAAAGAACAATCAGAAGGAGAAGGAGCAAAATCAGAAGGAGAGACGGTGGGACTATATCCCTGCGCCCACTTCACTCGGAACAGCAAACGCGGCGAGAAGGAACGGGAGGCAGAAGCAGCTAGCACCTCCATCGCCACCCCGAAGCCATCCAAGCAGTTTGACTTCAGCGATTTCCAACAGTTTCTGCAACAACAAGCATCCTAAAATTACATTATGTAGCTGCTAGCCTACCAGGCCAAGGAAACAAGGAACAGGAGCCAACCTATAGGCAAGATGAAAGTTTCGAAGAAGAAATCACTGCTGGAGGAGATGGCTGGATTGCCTTGCCATTATTCCGCCGCCGCCGCCACCAGATGATGAGCGCACATAGCTTCGGGATAAATCGATCGATCCATCGAAAAAGAAAGAGCACAGGGCAGGCCTCGTTTACCATTCACGAGTGGTGCCCTTGTCGGCCCGATTAAGGAGAGAGGGCCTAGGTCAACCTGCGGAGTAGAGGCCCGATTACGGGGTGAAAACATGGAGACGGGAGTGGTGGGATGGACCGAGAGATCTGGACCGTTCTTAAGTGTAATCGGACGGTTAAGGACGCCAAATCGTTGTAGGAGCTCATAGGTAGCTCTGTTTTACTGTTTTGTAATTCGGTACATGTTTTTGCCAACATACAACTTACTGAAGGTGAACATGGTATATGTATGCCAAATTTTAATTTGCTAAACATATCATGCACAAGTACGAAAATGTCGACTAAGAAAATTCTGAATAACCTGCTGTTATATTTAAATTTATAATGCGATATAACTGACGATATCTGGCACAAGCTAGGGGTATACTAATTTGAGATAGCACAAACATGGTTATCATAGAAATATCTTGTTCTCGCGATGAAAAAGATAATAGAGTTTTTGAACCAAAAAGAGTGGAAAAGAGACTCCTTGAATTGACGGAGTGCCCAATACAAGACCTCCTGACAATAAAGACCTTCCCTAGCTAACTCCCCGACCACAGGTATATGTCAACTGTCTAGTACTATAATTTTTCACTAATGCATTTTCAATGTATGGGCTACACAAAAAAAGAAAAGAAAAATATGTATACAAATGTACTAGTATATACTAGTGTTTGCTAATAGCAGGCCCCATGGATGATTTGTGTATGATCCAAGGAACAAGCAGCATGCATGCGATGCATGGGTCACTATGAAGCTGAGATCCTTAGAGGAAGTCTAGCAGATATCGCAAAAATGCGTCCTGCAAAAGCAGTATATGGCTTGCCCTAAAACAGATTTTGCGGTACTGAGAGGCATCAGACCGAATAGATCCCGTAAAAATGTTTCGGGTCAGATATGAAGCTTACTAGTTAGTAGTAGAATTTACAACAAGGTCCCTACACAATAGCACAACACACCCTAAAATCAAAAGCTAGATTACAACAGGGTCCCTGAAGACCCCAACGACGCAACGAGCCGTGAGCATGGCAGGAATGGGGCGCGGCGGCCCGAGCTCGTGCTCGAATGGCGCTCTATTGCAGTTGTTGTCAAGCGGCAGCATGCTACCTACGCCTGCATGTACGGAGGAAGGAAATCCCGACTAGGTCGAGGAACGGACACTGTTGATTCTGGATGTGGCCAACCGCCGACTCATCCGCGTGAGCGAGGGGAGGCTGCTCCACCAGGTGACTCCGGGCGGGCTCTTAGGCGCTTGACGACGAGAAGGGCAGGCCCAGAAACTAATGACTGTTGATTTAGGACCTGTTGTTGCTCGCGCCCGCGCCCGAGGCGGTGCGCTGTTGCGGATGCGGCCGAGCTCTTGCTGCTCGCACCCGAGCTGATATGGATGCTACCGAGCTCCTGCTGCTCGCGCCTGAGGCGGGGCGGACGCGGCCACTGGCCTGCCCAGTTCTGAAATTTCCCTCCCACCAAGTCACGCGAGTATACACGCGCATACACTCATCCCTATGAACGCCACACGCACACCCTAAAGCGCATTGCCGGAAATCCTGAAATAAATCCAGGAATAATGCGACCACCAGGATTTGAATCCTGGTGGGTTGGCGATACCATTGTCCACCCAACCAACTCAACCACAGGTTGATTCGCGTATCTGCTAGGGTTGCTCTTATCCTGATACGCAGGCTACATAATGAAGCTCTTCTATTTCCTATTTTTCTTTGTAAGTTACCGGCTGCATCTCATCTAACGATGAGAGATAACATTGATCAAGCCTTGGCACTTGTAGGCCCTGTGGACTTGTAGGACCGTCGATTCCGGTTGCATCTTGGAATACAGCGGATTGAGCCACACCCACGCGCCGCCGACCCACCGTTGGTGGAAACCTAACCTAACGCACCATCGCCTCCACGCACGCATCCACTCATGGCCATGGCGACGAAAGCCGCGCGCGTCCTCCGCTGCTTGCCTGCATGGAGCGCCGCCCTCTCCGCGGCCCGGCCGTGCGTCGTCGGCAAAGCCTCGTGGCTGGCGCCCAACACAATCCGGAGATTTCTCACTACGAACAAGGTGCACGGCCTCTTCATCAACTACATCGACTACTGTCGGCCACACCTCTTCGCCCGCCCCTCCTCCAACTCCATGATCGACGCCATGCTTGACTTCCTGCCCGATGACGACAAAGAGAGGCGGCGCTGGTGGTGGTCGGTCCTGGACCACAGCAACGGGCTCCTCCTCTGCGACATGGGAACCCCCGAGCTTTGCGTGTGCAACCCGGCGACACGGCAATGGACATTTATTCCTTGGGCCTGGCGGCGGGTGGGCGGTATATACCTTGCCTTTGATCCAGCCGTGTCACCCCACTACGAGGTGTTGGTGATCCCTGCCGTGCCTGAGCCTGAGAAGCCAGCAAAGCGAGTCATCGGAAAAGGTAGCGAAGAGAAGCCATTGCTAGACCCGCTGTTTGCGGATGAAGATAATGACACGCGTCGCTTGATGGAATCAGAATGGCCACC